AAAAGAGTGTAAAATTTGACCAAGTAATTGTTATTTTCAAAAATGTACAAATTTTTTGTATTTTTATTGATTAAAAAATTTATACTACTCGTTTCTTACTATTTTTTCGCGTATTTCAGGAATATTTTTCTACAAATTGCATTATTACATCATAGGTTTGACAGTATATTGTAACGCTGTTAAATTTTGTCATTCTTAAGACTACAATCTTATGGTAATAAATGTTCATTATTACGAAAAGTTTTTTAATGCATGAGTAAATCATAATATGTTAAAAATTTGTGTTGTTTTTGGTATATAAACTTAAGTGTTCAAAGATTGTACTCACAAGAAATGTAAGTAATGAGTGAAATTACATTAGTGACATGTACTTGACTGTAAAAATGAATTTTTATCAATATACAAGTGAAATTAGCTACGTTTCACGTTCTTATTCATTCCTTCATTGTTAATCTTATTTTTCGATTCGTTAGAAACTTTCATATTCTAAACTACTCAAATTTCTTTCCTTTTTCTTAACCTAACTTGCCAAAAATTATACTCATGACAGGATAAACAGGTATAACGAAAAAATGTTATTCAACTATATTGCATTAAGTACAATAATATTTACGCAATGTCATTCTTAACGTAAACTAATATTTTTAAATCTGTTTAATGACAGTAGATTGAAACATTATCTAAATCGAATTTTATATGTAATTTAGCTTTATTTTTAAATTAAGACAAAATTTTAAACAATATATGACATTTAAATAACATATGACATTTTTTAGATAAATGTAATAATATTCGTATTTTTCCTTTTGTTGTTAATATCATATTTCAAAAATTTAAATATAATAGAATTATAAAAAACGTTATTTTTAGGACATGCCACATGTTTTTCATAAATAACATGTAACATCCTCACCTCTGATGCTTTCAGTTTGAGAGAAACAAAAAAATATGGTTAGTTACTGGTACCTGTTTGCATCAAAAATATTCATTACTTCAGTATATAATATTATAAAAGTATGTATAATTAGGCATGAATATCAGTTACTTGAAATTTATCAAAACTCTTAATCGTTCGCTCTTACGCTAACGTAAGTTCCCGAATTCAATCGCTGTCTGCCGCTCTTGATTTTACGTAAATTCTCAAGTTTTACTGTTTGTCGTTTTTAAGTTCGCGTAAGTTCGTGAGTGCAATCGCTTAACGCTTAACACTAAAACCACCGGCGACAGGCGACCGGTTGAGTGTTAAGTTTCAACTACTCTTTTTAAAGTTAATCACTATATCTTTAACATATGACTAGACCAAATGAAATAAACTGTTAATATACAATGTAAATAATTCAATTGATCATTAGATATAAATAGAGTAAATTGTGATCTTGGATTTATTCGGTTCCATTATATTTATTAGTTGTATTTCTTGTACATATTCAGGAATGCATTGTAACAAAATTTTAATATTTTTAGCATAACAATTTCTAGAAAATAATTACAACTGAATAAATCTATTATATATGCATATTGTTTTTTATATCACAAAGAAATATAGACATTGAACAGAAACAAGATAATTCTTATATCATTTATACAAATTATTATTTGTGCAGGCAAACTGGAATAAAAAACGACGTTTGGCCTGTGAGCCTATTATAGCATTGGAACATCCTTCAAGCATAAAAATAAATATGTTTTGTTGGGGTAGTAATATACATGGGGAACTAGGTTTAGGTGGTATAGAAGAGGAAACTATTTTAACACCTAGTGAGGTTGATTTCAAAACAGCTTCAGAAATTGAGCAAAGTAAGCTTAATTATAAAACATATTTATAAGAGTTTTTATATGGCTATTACATCCTTAAATAATTTTTATATAGTTGCATGTGGTGAAAATTATACAGTAGTTATTACTCAAAATGGTAAAGTATATTCATGTGGAAACAATGATTATGGACAACTTGGTCATGAAAAAGGAAGAAAAAGATTACGTAAGCATATATGTGAAAAATGTGACTCACTGCAGTAGATTTATATATTACTAATAGACTTAATTTTATATTTAGAATTAATACCTGGATTAGATGCATTTGTGTTCAAGAAAGCATCTTGTGGAGCACACCATACTTTAGCAGTAAATGAATGGGGTCAACTGTTTAGTTGGGGATCTAATGCAGAGGGCCAACTAGGTGAATAATATTATTTAATCATAAATTTTGTGCTTAAGAGTTTCTTATCGTTATTTGCTTACATTTATATCTTAACTTAATTACAGGTTTAAATTCTAAAAATCAGATGGAATGTTCACCACGTATGGTGAAAACTTTAGGTACAAGTACAGTTGTACAAGTAGCTTGTGGCAAGAAACATGCACTTGCACTAACAAATAATGGAGAACTATATAGTTGGGGTTTCAATAGCGAAGGGCAACTTGGTTTAGGTACTGATGTTGAATGTGAACTAAAACCTAAACTTATTAGTACTTTAATTGGTGTCCCTATTGCATTTATTGCCTGTGGAGGATATCACAGTATAGCTATATCAAAATCAGGTAATATAAGAAGTGCATAAGAAATATTTGTTGTAAGATGATACAAATAATTAAATTTTTCCACAGGGGCTGTATTTGGGTGGGGAAAAAATATGTTTGGTCAGCTAGGACTAAATGACACACAAAATAGAAATTTACCATGTTTGTTACAAACTTTACAAAATGCAAAAGTGTGTTATGCAGCTTGTGGAGAAGAATTTTCTACATTTTTAACACTAGTAAGTATTCTAATTTATTTTGTTATTAAAACAGTTTTATTAGTAATATTATATACGATTTTTATTAGGATGGTGGTGTCTTCACTTGTGGTGCAGGAATGTATAGTCAATTAGGACATGGAAGTAATACAAATGAAATTTTGCCTCGTCAAGTTATGGAACTTATGGGTAGCACAGTTACACAGGTACATTATATTTTATAATTTGGTTATTGATATTTCTGCATATTATGCATACATTAACACTAGTAAATGTTTTAATTTAAGATCTCATGTGGCAAAAGACATACTTTAGCATTAGTATCATCACGAGGTAGGATTTATGCTTGGGGTTTAGGTGGTGCAGGACAATTAGGTAACCGTTCTACTCGAAGTATAGCAACTCCACAAGTAGTGCATGGCCCATGGGTTACAATAAATAGTTCTTCAATGATGGATCCTGATAAACAATTCAGTTCTTGTACAACTGAATATATTGTTAAACAAATTTTTACTGGTGGAGATCATTGTTTTGCCACAGTAGTTTCGAGGAATGTAGGTATTTTGTAGTACTATTATATACACAT